GAAGGCAGCCCCGGCGTGCGGCCGCGGGCCCAGGTGAGCGGCGGTGCGGCCCGGGCCCCTCCTGCAGCATCCTCCCCTGCGCTCCGGCCTGAGCCCCAGCCTCCCGCATCCCAACGCGGATCTCCCAGAGCTGAATGGAGGCTGGGGGTGGGGGGGGATCGGAGCAACACGAGCCCCCGACCCCCGATCTGGTCCGTCCTCGGAGCCAGGTCTGCCTGCAGGCCTTGTTCTTCCCCGGCCCCCTCCTCCCCAGGATGACCGGTCCTGCGGGGACACAGGGAGGCATTGCCGCTCGGAAACGCCTGGCATTACCCATCCCACCGCGGCCCGGCTCTGCGGCCCGGCCAGGACCCCGCACCCCTCCCCTCCCATCGCCTTCTCCTCTCCCTGCTTCACCTAAGGCCACTGCAGCTCCCCGGCTGTGTGCGACCCAGCTCGCCAAGTGCTGTATAGAGCTTTGAGCCCTACTTCACAGGGAAGGAAACTGAGGCTCCGAGAGGCCAACTGGAAGATAGTGGCTGAAAGATGCAGAAAGAATACAAGCAGGGAAGTGGAGCTGTGGTTCAAGGGGTGGAGCGCCAGGCTGGAGTGAAAAAAAGCTCAGGGACAGTGCTCAGGCCCTGAGTTCAAGCCCCAGTAACCGGCACACACAGGCACACACTAAATAAGAAATCGTATTGAGAGCCTGCCGTGTGCCAGATACCACAATCCCTTGCTTTATTCACTCGTTTTATCTTTCATCACCCCCTGGACTTTAACAAAGGAACCAACTGAAGATCAGAGAGGGGACGTGATTTGGTCCAGGTCACACAGGTGGTCATAGACTTGCTTAACAGCTTTCCAGAGAAGCAAAGAATAGCAATGGATTTTGGTGTGCCCACGAAAGGAGATAATTAACTCCACTCTGGGCTACTGTGTGTGTGTGTGTGTAAGAGAGAGAGAGAGTGTGTTATGGGGTTTGAACTCAGGGCCAGGGCGCTATCCCTGACCTCTTTTGCTCAAGGCTAGTGTTCTACCACTTTGAGCCACAGCTCCTTCTGGTTTTCTGGTGGCTCATTGGAGATAAAAGTCTCCTGGGCTGGCTTTGAACTGCAATCCTCAGCTCTCAGCCTCCTGAGTAGCTAAGATGACAGGTGTGAGCCATGGGCACCGGGCTCTTATAGACACTTGCATGGCTTGTTTTCTCCAAGCACTCTGCTGCTTGAATCTACTTCCGGCTTTTTTGTTGATTAATTGGAGACAAGAATCTGATGGTCTTTTCTCCCTGGTCATTAGTGTTATTATTTATTTATTTTGGGTCCAGTCATGGGGCCTGAACTCAGGGCTTGGGCGCTGTCCCTCAGCTCTTCAGTTCAAGGCTAGCACTCTATCACTTGAGCCACAGCACCACTTGCGGCTTTTTTTTCCTATTTATGTGGTGCTGAGGAATCGAACCCAGGGCCTTATGCATGCAAGGCAAGAGCTCTACCACTGAGCCACCTTCCCAGCCCCTCATTAGTGTTATTTTACTTTGAGTTCTGTTCTTAATGTTATTGTTTAATAATAATAATAGCAGGGACAGGTTGCGGAATGGTTTTTCTGGTGTGTGCCACTAAGTCATGTGACATTTACATAGTCTTTTGAAAGTAGTCAGGATGGACACTGTTGTCACCCTCTCTCAGGGACAAAGACTACTGGACTCAAAACCAGTCATGGGGGGGGGTGGAATCTGAGCTCAGACTGTGGTTCCAGCCCTAACCTACCTTTCCCCATCCCTCTCCCCCACCCCAGGCCTTACCTTCCCCAATGGCACAGGTTCCAGGGGAACTGGACAACATGGAGGGCCTGCCTGCCCCCAACAACAACAACCCTGCAGCCCGCTGGGAGAGTCCAGATAGAGGCTGGGACCGGGAGCCAATGGCCACCTCCACAGCAGCCGCTTCACTCTTTGAGTGCTCTAGGATCAAGGCCTTGGCAGGTCTGTGGAAGAGGGCTGAGAGTGTGGGATGGGGGGGGGGAGGGCGGGAGGACAGAGCGGGGAGAAGAGGGAAGTGGGAGGGGATCTTGAGGTAGCCTTAGACACATTACTGCCTAAGAACCTTGCTAGCTGGGAGTAAGGAGGAAAGTAAATGAGCTTTGCCCAACAGAACTTTCCATTGTGAAGGAAGCCTGGATCTGTGGTGGTTGGAACCATGACCATGAGTATATATGGCTCTAGAGCACTTGAACTGTGGTTAGTGCCACACTTGAGGGACTACTTTACATCTTAGTGTTTTAATTACTTCTAATTTATGTAACCACGTGGAGCTCAGCACAGAGCTGAGCCTGGGCCAGCCCCACTTTAGAAGCAAGCTCTCTCTCAGTAGCTAAGGTAGCTTCAACTCCCTGTGTAGCCCAGCCTGGTTGCAAACTTGAGACCCTTTTGCCTGAGCTCCCTGGACGGCTGGGATTATAGAGGCAAAGCACTATTCCTGGCTCATAAAATGAAAATAATTGCAAATATATAACTTTACAGTCACAAGCTTTAGAAATATGTGTGTGTGTGTGTGTGTGTGTGTGTGTGTGTGTGTCTTGCTTGAACTCAAGGTTTCTAGTACTCCCTTAGCTTTTTTTTTTTTATCGGTCATGGGGCCTGCACTCTGGGCCTGGGTGCTGTCCCTCAGCTCTTCATTTGAGCTACAGCTCCGCTTCCAGCTTTTTCTGCTTATGTGGTGCTTAGGAATCGAATCCAGGGCCTCATGCATGCAAGGCAAGCACTCTACCATTGAGCCACCATCCCAGCCCCACCCTTAGCTTTTTTAGCAAGGTTGGCACCCGACCATTTGAGTCACAGCTCCACTTCTGACTTTTTGTTGGCTAAAAGATAAGGATCTAGCAGGCACTGGTGTTCCCTGCCTGTAATCCTAGCTACTCAGGTGGATCTGAGATCTGATATCAGAAGATCTGAGGATGTTGGTTCAAAACCAGCCTGGGCAGGAAAGCTCGTGAGACCCTTTCCTCCAATTAATCACCAAAAAACTGGAAGTGGAGCTGTAGCTCAAAGTGGTAGAGCAATAGTTTTGAGCAAAAGAGCTCAGAGACAGCACCCATGACCATGACCAAGAAGAAAAGAAAAGAAAAGAGCTGGGCACTTGTGGTTCCACCTGTAATCCTAGCTACTCAGGGTTCAAAGCCAGCCTGGGCAGGAAAGTCCATGGGACTCTTATCTCCAAACCACCAGAAAAACAGATGTGGTGCTTTGGCTCAAGTGGTAGAGTGCTTGCCTTCAGCTGAAGAGCTCAGGGACAGCTCCCAACAACCAACCAAAAAAAAAAAAAAGAAAAAGGTAAGAGTCTCATGAACTTTCCTGCCTAGGCTGGTGTCAAACCAAGGTCCTCTGATCTCAGCCTCCTGAGTTGCTAGGATGACAGGTGTCAGCCACCCAGGCCCAGTGCAAACCTTAGAAACTTTGATATCCCTGGCTCCAAGGATTACAAAGCTGTGAAAGACTAAACTCTAATATACATAGATCCTTAAGACATCATTTTGAACTGTTAGTGTTGCAGATTAGAAATAAGGAAATCTGGGGCTAGGAATGTGCCTTTGTGGTAGAGTGCTTGCCTAGTATGCATGAAGCCCTAGGTTTGATTCCTTAGTATCACATAACAGAAAAGCCAAAAGTAGCACTGTGGCTCAAGTGATAGAGTGCGAATCTTGAGCTGAAGAGCAGAGGGACAGTATCCAGGGCCAGAGTTCAAGCCCCACAATTGACAAAAAAAAAAAAAAAAAAAAGGAACTGTGATGTGATCTTACAACTGTGGATCTTTCCTGATGTTTGAGTGGATTGGATCCAGGACCTTAAGATATCAAAGTATCAAAGTCTGAGAATGTTCAAGTGCCTTATTAAAAACAAAAACAAAAACAAAACTAGCATAATAGGGCTCGGACTGAGTTCAAGCCTCAGGACTGGCAAAAAAAAAAAAAAGAAGTGGATGTGGCTCAAGTGGTAGAGTACCAGTCTGACCTTAGACCATAAGGCCCTCATGTATTCAAATCACAGTACCAGCATTAAAAAACCACCACCGGGGCTGGGAAGATGGCTCAGTGGTAGAGTGCTTGACTTGCATGCATGAGGCTCTGGGTTCGATTCCTCAGCACCAAATAGCAGAAAAAGCTGGAAGTGGTGCTGTGGTTCAAAGTGGTAGGATGCTAGCTAGCCTTAAGCTGAAGAGCTGAGGGACAGTGCCCAGGCACAGAGTTCAGGCTCCACAACTGACAAACAACAACAACAAACAAACAACCTACCACCACAATAAATAATAATAATACTGCTACTCAGAAGTCTGAGATTTAAGGATTGCAGCTTGAAGCCAGCCTGGGCAGGAATCTCCAATGATCCACCAGAAAAACCAAAAGTGGCATTGTGGCTCAAAGTGTTAGAGCACTAGCCTTGAGCAAAAGAGATCAGGGACAGCACTCAGGCCCCAAGTTCAGGCCTCACAATCAACAAAAAATAAATAAAAATTAAAAAAAACAAAGCTGGATGCTGGTGGCTCATACCTGTAATCCTAATTACGCAGGAGGCTGGGATTTAAGGATCAAGGTTCAAAGCCATCCAGGGCAGGAAAGTTGATAAGAATCCTATCATCAGTAATGTACAAAAAAGCCTGTAGTGGAGCTGTGGCTCAAGTGGTGAGCACTAGCCTTGAGCAAAACAAACTCGGGGATAATGCCCAGGCTTTGAGTTCAAACCACAGGACTGGCAGAAAGAAAGAAAGAAAGAAAGAAAGAAAGAAAGAAAGAAAGAAAGAAAGAAAGAAAGAAAGAAAGAAAGAAAGAAAGGAAGGAAGGAAGAAAGGAAAAAAGAAAGAAAGAAGAAAGAAGTAAATTTGATACTATGTAATTTATACCTTATACTGGAGATGTAATAATAGTAGTGTTAATATTAAAACAGCTAGGAAGAAGGCTCCTGATCAATTTCTCTGTAGCTAAATGAAACAAATTTTCTGCTTTCTTCTGCTACCTTCTCATGTACCTTCTGGTACCCTTGGGAGGCAGGAAATGTAGAGTCAGCTTGTCCAATCCTGTTGCTCTAGACAGAGAAGGCCTTCCTGTCTGTTCTCCACTCAGCAACCAGAGGAATTCCTGAGCTACACCTGTCATCCTGACACTCTCCTCCTTAAGTGTTCACTCACCATATTGCCTGTGTCCCCACTAACCTGCATTCTGTAAATACAGTTCCAAGAATGGAGTGAGCACCTGTTGCACAAACGAATGAACAGTTCCAAATAGGCTAGCAAACAGGAAAAGATATTTCAGGAACGTCTGTGCTGGTGGCTCATGCCAGTCATCCTAGCTATTCAGGAAGTTGAAATCTGAGGATCTCAGTTCAAAGCCAGCCTGGGCAGGAAAGTCTGTGAAACTCTTCTCTCCAATGAACCACCAAAAAGCTATAAAATGGAGCTGTGGCTCAAGGAGTAGAGAGCTAGCCTTGAGCTAGTCAGGGACAGCATCCAGGTTCTGAGTTCAAACCCCAGGACCTGCACCAAACAAACAAAAATATTTCATAAAAGAAAGCAACCTTGTCACCAGGCACAGCATCCCTGGTGGGAGGAGCTGCCAAGACCTAGGCCCAAGCAGGGCTCGGCTGGGTGGTGGAGGGCTGGAGAGGAGCTGGAAAGGGCCCCCAAGGCTTCGCGGAGGTAGGATTCATGAGGCCCCTTCCCCAGATGAACGGGAGGCCGTGCAGAAGAAAACCTTCACCAAGTGGGTGAACTCCCACCTCGCCCGCGTGGGCTGCCACATCGGGGACCTCTACACCGACCTGCGGGATGGCTTTGTGCTCACCAGGCTCCTGGAAGTGCTGTCTGGGGAGCCGCTGGTAAGGGGGCCAGATGGGCTGGAGAAAGGGGGTGATCCTGGAGGTTGGGCATGGCTGGAAGGGCTGGATTCCAAGCAGGGGGTGGGGAGCCTAGCTAAAGGTTGGGTAGGGCGCCCCACAAATGCCCTGTGAGTACAAAGCCCCTTGGTTTGAATGGGTGGAGCCCTGGCACAGGGATGAAGCTTGGTAGTGAGGAGTTGGGGTGCCTAGATTGCAGAGGAACTATTGGAGGGGGCGTGGCTTCACTGCAGGGGGCGTGGCTCCCAGGAAGGGGCGGAGCTTTATTAGAAAAGGACAGCCAGGTTGTGAGCTAGAAAGGGGCCTGGCTGTAAAAAAAGCCAGAAAGAATTCTGTTGCAAGGAATCAGTGGATTCTACGTTGGAAGATAAGACTTAATGAAGGGGAGGGGTCTTGAGGTGAGGGCAGAGACCCAATGGAAGGGGCGGGGCTTCATGATGAGCGTGGGCAGATCCAATGAAGGGGCAGGGCTTCAAGTGGAGGGGCGGGGCTTTCAGGGAGGAGGTGGAGCATCAGTGAATAAGGATGAGATCAGAAAGTTGAGAAGCCCACGCAGTGTGACTCTGGAAGGGATCTACAAGTAAGGACTTCTTTCTTCAGACCTGGGTAGGTTTTGAATCTAGATAGGACTGAAGGGGCGTGGTCTGATCTTGGAGACAGGGGCGTGGCTACGCGAGGGCGTGGCCGAGGGCATCTTGCCCACTGCCCCTCTCCCACCCTCCCGCTGCCCTAGCCGAGGCCCACGCGGGGCCGCATGCGGATCCACTCACTTGAGAACGTGGACAAGGCCCTGCAGTTCCTCAAGGAGCAGCGCGTGCACTTGGAAAACGTGGGATCGCACGACATCGTGGACGGGAACCACCGGCTGACGCTGGGGTTGGTCTGGACCATCATCCTGCGCTTCCAGGTGATCGCCGAGGGACCCCTGATCAGCTCTCCCCTTCCCCATGGGTCCTCGGGAGGACGTCCACCATCCGTTCCCTAGGTGGTGGGAAGGGAAATAAGGAGAAAATAATTGTCAACTCATTATGATGATGTCTATATTGTTTATTCTGTGTGTGTGTGTGTGTGTGTGTGTGTGTGTGTGCGTGTGTGTGTGCCAGTATTAGGGCTTGAACTCAAGGTCTGGGCACTGTCCTTTAGCTTTCACTCAAGGCTGGTGCTCTATCACTTGAGCCACAGCTCCATATCCAGCTTTTTTTTTTTGCTAGCTAATTGGAGATAAGACTCTCACAGATTTGTCTGCTTGGGTTTGCTGGCTTTGTACCATGATCCTCAGATCTCAGCCTCCTGAGTAGTTAGGATTCCAAGTTCAGCCACCAGTGCCTGGCACTCAAACCTTTCTTTGCATCTTCCCAGATTCAAGTCATCAAAATCGAGACCGAGGACAACAGAGAGACGCGCTCAGCCAAGGATGCTCTGCTTCTATGGTGCCAGATGAAAACAGCTGGGTGAGCGCCCCCTCCTCACAGACAGGTGGGCCCCTAGCCTTTGGGGTTCCTACTGGGACAAGAGCCAGCCGGAGCTAACAAATTGGTAAATAAAACATGTCCACTTGAAGGCCAAGTTCAAATGTGGTGGTGTGGGGGGAGGGGGAGGTCCCAGTGCTGGGGAAGTGGTGGCTGTTCCTCTGCCCCCTTCCCCATCCCGCCCTATACATCAGGAGATTCCCCAGCACATGTCCTAGCTCTGGCCACTCTAACTCTTGGCCATCTAACTCTCTTTAGCAGGGTACTTGCCTGGTCTCCAGCAATCCAGGGAATGTAATTAAGGGTCCTGGGCACCTTCTGTGTAGTTGAGATGATGAAGGCAGACAGGGGCTCTAGTGGGTGTGTTATGTTGGCGGCCCAGCTCTCTGCCTTGTGAAAGGAGCATGGCCTAGAACTCCAGCACACCCAGGAAAGTAGAAGGGACAGATGGCAAGGGGGGTGGGCTTTTTGGTGACTTGCCATTCTGGGGCTGTCTATGCCTTGCAGTGAGGTCTGTGACTCCATGTGTGTCTTTACCTCTATGTCTGCTGGTCCCTGGACTGACCTCACACCTGCCCTACTTTCTCTCTGCCTTCCTGTCCCTCTGTCTGTCTGGTCCCTCTGTCCTCCTGTCTCTTTGTTTTGTTTTTTCTGTCTCCCCCCCCATTTCTATCTCTCTCTCCCCTCTATCTTCTCTCCTTTCTTTCCTTTGCCTCTTTCCTTTTCCTCTCTTGTATTTCTTCATCTCCCTGGCTCACTTGATCGATCGATCAATTCTATTTATCTATCTGTCTGTCTGTCTATCTATCTATCTATCTATCATCTATCTACTTTCTATCTTAAATATTCATCTACCTATTATCTATCTGCCTATCTATCTCTATCCATCTGTCTGTCTATCCACCCATTCATTGGTACATTTCCCTACCCCTACTGGACATCCATCTTTTATGTCCTCCCTTCCTGTATTCCATCCTGACTCTGCCCACCTCTGCCTCTGCCTCTCCCTCCCCACTGCTAGTTACCCAGAGGTGAACATACAGAATTTCACCACCAGCTGGCGGGATGGCCTGGCCTTCAACGCCCTCATTCATCGGCACAGGTACCACCTGCTCGGGGGCAGCCCAGCTCTGATCCTCCTCCTGCCCTATGCCTCTGCATTTACCCCTGTGTGTGTGTGTGTGTGTGTGTGTGTGTGTGTGTACAGACCCCCACACCCCCACAGCTTCCATTCCTTTATTCCAACACACACATACACATTCATTTCCCTTTCCACATCTGCCCTTCATATTTTTCAGGCAGGCACACCCACATAAAAAACTTTTGGGAGGAGTTGGCAGTACTGGGTTTAAACTCAACACTTGCTAGGCAAGAACTATGCCATTTGGGCCACATGCTGTCAGGCTACAGTTCCACTTTCAGTTTTTTGGTGGTTCATTGGAGATAAGAATCTCACAGACATTCTTATGCAAGCTGGCTTCAAAAGACGATCCTCATGTTTCAGCCTGCTGAGTAGCTGGGATTATAGGCATGAGTTAGGATCATCCCACAAAGATTCACACAAACATTTCTTTTACAAGCCGGGTGCTGGTGGCTCACGCCTGTCATCCTAGCTACTCAGGAGGCTGAGATCTGAGGATCATGGTTCAAAGCCAGCCCAAGCAAGAATGTCCATGAGACTCTTATCTCCAATAAACCACTCAGAAAACCAGAAGTGGTGCTGTGGCTCAAGTGATAGTGCTTGTCTTGAGCTGAAGAGTGCAGGGACAATGCCCAAGCTCAGAGTTCAAGCCCCACAACCAAAAAAACCCCAACAACACGAAAAACCCAAACATTTCTTCCACAGATTGGCAAGCCCACACGTTGGCATGTAGACTGATTTACAGGTGCCCAGCAACAAATGCACATACCATGTACACTCCTAAGGCTGTTCACAGCACAGATACACACAGCTCAGTCCCACACCAGCACCCCTTGGCTTTGTAGGGGTCCCTTGCTCTGGGTGGCGCTCAGATGAGGCTATCCCTGGGAGCCTGCCTGCTGACTGCCTGCTCTATGCCCCATACCCAGGCCCGATCTTGTGGATTTCGGCAAACTCACCAAGTCCAACGCCAACTACAACCTGCAGAGAGCCTTCCGCACAGCTGAGCAGCATCTGGGGCTGGCACGTTTGCTGGACCCTGAAGGTCAGCCCTGGGTGACCCTAGCCCTGATTTCCTCCCTGGGAAGGGGGAATGGCCAAGATCAGTTCCTTCTCAGATTCCATCCCTTCTAGCACTGCCACAGCCCAGACTCAGTTCAAAATCCCACCTGTATCCCATCCCTGCCTCCCCCTCGATTTCCCTTCCCACACCCTTCCCTTAGCCCTCCCAACTCCTTCTCCTGTATCTCTGATCTGATTTGTGTGTGTGTGTGTGTGTGCCAGTAGGTACTGTCCCATAGCTTTTTCATTCAAGGCTAGCACTCTACCACTTGAGCCACAGCTCCACTTAGGGCTTTTGCTGGTTCATTAGCGATAAGTGTCTCAGAAGCTGGGTGCCAGTGGCTCGTGCCTCTAATCCTAACTACTCAGGAGACTGAGATCTGAAGATTACAGTTCAAAAGCCAGCCTAGGCAGGAAAGTTCTGTGAGACCTCCAAAACAGGAAGTAGAGCTGTGGCTTAAGTGGTAGAGCACCATCCCTGAGCAAAATAGCTCAAAGACAGCATCCAGGCTGTGAGTTCAAGCCCTAGGTCTCTCTCTCTCTCTCTCTCTCTCTCTCTCCCTCCTTCCCTCTCTCCCTCTCTCTCCAAATAAACCAACAAACAAACAAATAATGGGCTCAAAGATTTTCCTGCCTGGACTGCTCTGAACGACAATCCTCAGATCTCAGCCACCTGAGTATCTAGGATGACAGGCGTGAGCCACAAGCATGAGGTATAGACTGATCTCATCATGGTTTCTATGTGTCAGGCACAATTTAACTTCATGAGGTGGGTTCCCCCAGGGGACAGATACAAAAACCAAGGGACAGGCCATGTCACTGAAGGTCACAGCTACTGAAGTCTCCATCATGTGCCCTTTCTTCCCTCCCCGCCCCTCCCACCTCCCCTTCCTCTTCCCCCCAGATGTGAACATGGAAGCTCCGGATGAGAAGTCAATCATTACATATGTGGTGTCTTTCTACCACTACTTCTCCAAGATGAAGGCCCTGGCGGTAGAGGGCAAGCGGATTGGGAAGGTTAGGAGGAGCAGGGGAGCGGGCCTGGGAAGTGGCTGGGGCTAGGAGCCAATGACACTAAGTCCACCTTCCTTTACTGGCTCAGGTCCTGGATCAGGTGTTGGAGGTGGGAAAAATCATCGAGCGCTATGAGGAGCTGGCAGCCGAATTGCTGGCCTGGATTCATCGCACCATAGGTCTTATCAGCAACCAGAAGTTTGCCAACTCCCTGAGCGGGGTGCAGCAGCAGCTTCAGGCTTTCACGGCCTACTGCACACTGGAAAAGCCAGTCAAGTGAGACCCCAGCTCAGGAGGAAGGGAGAGGGGTTGGAGATGGAGGCATGGGAACAACACCCCCTGAGTTCATGCCCCTTCAAGGTTTCAGGAGAAGGGGAATTTGGAGGTGCTTCTCTTCAGCATCCAGAGTAAATTGCGTGCGTGCAACCGTCGCCTCTTTGTGCCTCGGGAGGGCTGTGGCATCTGGGATGTTGACAAGGTAAGGCTGGGGGTGTAAAGGACAAACGAAGTTGTTGTTGTGCACTGTTCGAGAGAACACAGTGTAGACAGTATGAGTCAGATGCTTATTAGTTTATTAGCTACTTTCTCAGGAGTTATAAGGCAACTTTTTTTTGTTTTGTTGGGTCATAGGGCTTGAACTCTGGGTCTGGATGGTGTCCCTCAGGTCTTCAGCTCAGGTCTTCAGCTCAAAGTTTACGCTCTACCATTTGAGCCACAGCGCCACTTCCAGCTTTCCTGAGACAAGAGTCTCAGGAACTTTCCTGCCCAGGCTGGCTTTGAACCACAATTCTCAGATCTCGGCCTCCTGAGTAGCTAGCATTACAGATGTGAGCCACCAGCGCCCGGCCCGGCCACTTCTGGCTTTTTTTTTTTTTTTTTTTTTTACTGGTTAAATGGCAATAAGAGTCTCATGGACTCTTCTACCCAGCCTGGCTTCCATCTGTGATCCTCAGATCTCAGCCTCCTAAGTAGCTAGGGTTACAGATATGAGCCATTGATGCTTGCTTACAATCCCCCCCCCCGCCAATTTGCATTAAGGTCTTATCTCTGACGGAAATGGTCTCCAACAGGGTCATTAAAGTGGGAGATCAGCTGGGTGCTGATGACTCTGGCCTGTAATTCCATCTACTCAGGACGCTGAGATCTGAGGATCGTGATTTGAAGCCATCCCGGGGAAGAGAAATCTATGAGACTCTTATGTCCAATGAACCACCTCCAATCCAGAAACGGAGCTGTGGCTCAAGTAGTTGAGCACCAGCCCTGAGTAGAAAAACTTAAAAACAGCACCCAGGCCCCGAGTTCAAGCCCTAGGAAAGGCACAAAAGTAAAGTGGGAGATACTGTTGAAATCTGACTGTGTTTTGTCTTCCTCAGGCCTGGGGTCAGTTGGAGAAGGCAGAGCATGAGCGGGAGGCTGCCTTACGGGCTGAGCTGATCCGGCAGGAGAAGCTAGAACTGCTAGCCCAGAGGTTCGACCACAAGGTGGCCATGAGAGAGAGCTGGCTGAATGAGAACCAGCGTCTGGTCTCCCAGGTACAAGGTGGAGCTGGGTTCCATGGGAAGGGAGGGAACGTAGGACACACGGTCTTGAGATCAAGGGAACCTTGATCTCCTTAGCAATGGGGAAAGGTTGAACTCACCTCCTAGGTTGACAAATGATGGCAAGAAAGGTGTCTTAAGAGATGAGAGGAAGCCGGGTGCCGGTGGCTCACACCTGTCACCCTAGCTACTCAGGAGGCTGAGATCTGAGGATCATAGTTCAAAGCCAGCTAGGGCAGAAAAGACCATGGTGCTGTGGCTCAAGTGCAATGGCCATGAGTGAAAAAGCCAAGGGACAGTGCCTGGGCCCTGAGTTCAAACTCTAGGACTGGCAACCCCCTCCCCCCAAAAAAGAGAAAGTGGAGCTGAACTCCAGGTGAACCGAAGAGGGAGCATGGTCCCCAGGAAACTAAAGAGGAAAGAATTTATTTCTTTGGAAATAGCATTGTAACTGGTGTGGGAACTCAGCAGGATAGAATTGGGCTCCTAAGTAACGGAAGAGTAAACCAGACTCGAGGACAATGGGAAGATGGGGTCTGCTTCCTGGGTGACAAGCTGAGGGGTTAGAGATGCAGCAGAGGAGAGGGAGAGATTGGTCTCCAGCATCATGGAGGAGGTTAGGGCTCAGTTCCAAGGTAGGTGGGCAGGATGGGGCTGGTCTTCAAGGTAACAGGAAACTAGAGCTGATTCCTAAGGTAATTGGAAGGCGGGGCTGGTTGCCAAGGTAACAGGAGGAAGGTAGGGCTGACTTCCAGGGGAGCTGAAGATGGTGGGGCTGGTTTCCATGGTAACTGGGAAAGATGGGGCTGGTCTCCAGGGCAACAGAGGATGGTAGTATTGGCAGGCAGGATAAGTAGGAAGTGGGGAGTACCTGGTATCTAGGGTGATGGGGAGGGGGGGCAGTAATCAGGGCCCAAGGTAACAGCTGGACTGCTGAGGCCCCATGCTGAGCATCTGGCCTGCACTATTCAGGACAACTTTGGGTACGAGCTGCCAGCCGTGGAAGCAGCCATGAAGAAGCACGAGGCAATCGAGGCAGACATCGCAGCCTATGAGGAGCGGGTGCAGGGTGTGGCCGAACTGGCTCAGGCATTGGCCACCGAAGGCTATTACGATGCCCGGCGTGTGGCGGCTCAACGGGACAGTGTCTTACGCCAGTGGGCTCTGCTGACCGGGCTGGTGGGTGCCCGGCGGACCCGCCTGGAGCAGAACCTGGCTCTGCAGAAGGTCTTCCAGGAGATGGTCTACATGGTGGACTGGATGGAGGAGATGCAGGTGGGAACCAGAGGAGGGACTGGAGGCCAGTGGTGGGTGTGGAGGACAGTGGGGTCAAAGAGGTAGAGATGGAATGAGAGAGGCAAAGGACCGAGATTAAGAGACAGAGAGCAAGGCACTAGTGGCTCATGCTTGTAATTGCAGCTACGCAGGAGGCTGAGATCTGAGGATTGAAGTTCAAAGCCAGTCTGGGCAGGAAAATTCATAGGACCCATCTCCAATTAATCACAAACAAAGAAACTCTAGAAGTAGAGATGTGGCTTAAATGCCAGCCTTGAGCAAAAAAGCTAAGGGACAGTGTCGAGGGTCTAAGTTCAAGCCCCAGAACCAACACACACACACACACACACACACACACACACACACACACACACACACACACGACAGAGAGAACTACAGTACAAGCACAAAGTTTGCTTTGATCTCTTTAGATCTACAGAAAATTACATGCTGGGGGGCTGGGAAGGTGGCTCAGTGTTAGAGCGCTTGCCTTGCATGCCTGAGGCCCTGGGTTCGATTCCTCAGCACGACATAAGCAAAAAGAAAAAAGCCGGAAGTGGCACTGTGGCTCAAGTGGTAGAGCTTGAGCTGAAGAGCTGAGGGACAGCGCCCAGGCCCAGAGTTCAGGCCCCACGACCGGACCCCAAAAAAAAAAAACAAAAAAAAGAAAATTACATGCTGCTAATGTCAATTTGGGAACGAAAAGACACTAACTAAAGATAAGTGAATAGCTGGGCATTCGTGGCTCATGCCTTCCATCCTAGATACTCAGGAGGGTGAGATTTGAGGATTGTGGATAAAAGCTAACCAGGCAGGAAAGTCCTTGACACTCTTATCTCCAATGAACCACCAAAAAGCCAGAAGTGGAGCTGTGACTCAAGTGGTCGAGTGCTAGCTTTGAGCAAAAATCCCTCAGGGACAGCACCCAGGCCCTGAGTTTAAGCCTCAGGATTGGTGTGCACGCACATGCGCATGCACACACACACACACACACACACACACACACACACACACGATAGATGGAGACAGACAGAAGGGATGGAAGGAGAAAGAGAAGACAACAACGGAGCAGGAGTAGAGGTGAGGAGTTATGAGATGAAGGCAGAGAGGGGATCCCACGGAGATGGGGGGCCAGAAACACAGGTGAGGGAGAAACACACCCAGGGAGAGTCAGAAACAAAGTCCACTCAGGCAGAGATCAGAGTTCCAACCATGATATCCTGTGGCAGAGGGCTGGTATGGGGGAGGGGATTAGACGGGATAGATGAGTGTCCTCCGCCGCCCCCCCCCCCCCGGCCCACATTGCCACTTGTGTTTTGCTTCCTGCTCTACAGACCCAGCTACTGTCCCGGGAGTGCGGACAGCACCTGGTGGAGGCGGACGACCTGTTACAGAAGCACGGACTGTTGGAGGGGGACATCGCGGCCCAGAGCGAGCGGGTAGAGGCTCTCAACGCTGCGGCCCTGCGATTCTCCCAGCTGCAGGGTAAGTCCAGGAGGAGGAGTGAGTTGAGGTGTCTGAGGATTGGCACTGATGGAGGTGAGGAGGATTCCTGAGAGATGGAAGAGAGTGAGAGCCTTGTCTGTGGAGACATGTAAGCAGGGACTAGGTTCTCTTTTCTTTTCCATTTCTGTCCAAGACTGGGACTCGAACTCAGTACCTGCTGCTTTCACTCATTGGCTGGAACTCTACCAACTGAGCCATGCCTCCAACACTGTGACTAGGATCTCATGTTCATTAGGAAATTTTGGAGAGAGGTTAGCCCCCCTGACCCCTTCCTGCTTTGAGATTCTACAGTAAATAGCCCATATTTATTGAGCATTTAAGGGCTCAGCCTTTCCCAGGTCAATCCCAGTGAACACCACTAAAAATACAACATGCTGGACATTGGTGGCTCACACCTGTCACGCTAGCTACTCAGGAGGTTGAGATCTGAGAATCATGCTTCAAAGCCAGCCCAGGCAGGAAAATCCCTGAGAGTCTCCAATGAACCACCAGAAAACTGGAAGTGGAGCTGTGGCTAAAGTGGTAGAGTGTTAGCCTTGAGCAAAAAGAGCACAAGGACAGTGTCCAGGCCTAGAGTTCAAGCCCCAGAATGGGAAAAAAAAGTCACCCCCCCCCAAAGATAATACCTAATCAAGACCTGTTTGATAATACCTAGTCAAGACCTGTTCAGTCAAGACCTGTTTGAAAGTAACGGATAGAAACTCAATGCACTCTATATGAAGGAGTCAAGAGAAGTATATTAGCCTATGTAACTAAATGACTAGGGAGGCATGTGATTCTATAATGCTTTCAAGACTTAGTCTCTCTCTGTTTCAAGTGTCTGTGTTAGTGTCACTGTCAGTCAGTTCCTCCCCTTGTGGTGAAAAATTGGGGATGCTTCCTCCTTGTATCCACAACATCCCAACCACTTAACACACCCAGAAGGAGACAGTTCCCCTTTCTCTCAAGTAGTTCTGCTGAAAGGTCCAAGGAAGGATTTCATTGGCCCACTGTGTTTTCCATCTTCATTGCTCAGCCAATCATGTGGCACCAGGACATGCAAGGCTTTCATTGGCCTATATCTATGTGATATGTCTGCCCGTTCCAGGGCTAAGAAGAGTGTCAGACCCCTGACTGAGAAAATCAGGAAGATGGGCCTCGCTTCTCGAAAGCAGAGCATGGATGCTGATAGACAAAACTAAGATGGCATCTAGAAGGTTCCTATTTACTGAAGCCAATGCCTATCAGTCAGAGAATGCCAGGAAGCTCTCTGTAATCCAACCAAGGTGGATTGGTTGGCTATGGGCATACTTGGGACACCACACAGCCTGTCAGTAAGAATCATTACAAGAAGGCTGAGTGTGATGGTATATGCCTGTAATCTCAGTTACTCAGGAGGTAGAGGTAGGAGAATCACCATCTCAATCTGGCCCAGGCAAAAGTGTAAGACTCTGTCAGAAACAGCATAAAACATAAAGGGCTGGCGTCATGGTTCAAGTGGTAAACATTTGTTTGGCAAGACATTTGTTTTGGCCCAGAGTTTAATCCCTGGTATACCAAAACAAAACACCCCACAAAACTTGCAAAAGGACTTTTTGGTGGGATTTGGTGCTGGCTTAGGTGAGGAGATGGGTCAATGCAGTGGGTGTTTGGATAGGAATGAGAGGAAATTACATGATTGAATGCACATGGTAATTGCTTATTTTGTGTGTATGTGCTAGTACTGGGCTTGAACTTAGGGTTTGAGCACTGTCCCTTAGCTTTCTCACTCAAAGATGGTGCTCTACTACTTGAGCCACATGCACTCCAGTTCTGGCTCTTGGCTGGTTAATTGGAAATAAGAGTCTCATGGATCTGTCTGCCTGGGCTGGCTTCACTCTGTGATCCTTGGATCTCAGCTTCCTGAGTGGCTAGGATTACAGGTGTGAGCCACTGGCGCCTGGCTGTATTAATTATTTTTGTGTGTATGTGTGGGTATGGGGCTTGAACTTAGGGCCTGAATGTTGTCCTTTTATCTATTTTGCTCAAGGCTGGAGTTCTACCACCTTAGCCACACACATACCTCCACTTCTGGCTCTTTGCTGATTCATTGGAGATAGGAATCTCACAGACTTTAGTGCTTGGACTTGTCTTTGATCTGCGATCCTCAGGTCTCAGCTTCCGGAGTAGCTGGGATTACAGGCGTGAGCCACGGGGTGGGGGGAACACTCAGCCACAAAGATTTTCTAAGTGATCTTCCTTTCTCTTACCTCGTGGGCCTTGGACAAGGGACAGATTCTAATGGGAGGGAAAGGAGGTCTGGATAAGTAACGTGAGCATCATCTTCTCTCGGAGGTCCACACCCAACTCCATCCTCTCCTTTTCCAGGCTACCAGCCTTGTGACCCGCAGGTCATCTGCAATCGCGTGAACCACGTGCACGGCTGCCTGGCGGAGCTGCAGGCGCAGGCGGTCCGACGGCGCGGGGAGCTGGAGGCGTCGCGGAGGCTGTGGGCGCTGCTGCAGGAGCTGGAGGAGGCGGAGAGCTGGGCCCGGGACAAGGAGCGGCTCCTGGAGGCGGCGGCGGGGGCC